GAAGCTGGAAATTGAGTTCAACTAGGAGGAAATGATTACATCATGCTTGGGCAAGCTTCCCTGGCTGGCTATACTCTGCATATTGTCACACAGTAATGTTACTGGTGGGCTGAAAACCCACTTTATCTCAGCTCTTGTTTATAGGAATGAATTCAAACAAGAGAAACCATAGAGTGAGCAAAGCAAGCAAAGTTTATGCTAACAGAAATATACTCAGATGAATCCAAATGGGCAACTCAGCTAGTCAGACGCCCCATGGAAACAAAGGGTTGGGGGTTTTATACTTTTCCCTCTTCCTTAAGAATGCTACCTCTGCTTTTTCTATTCTTACTCCCCTCCAACCCCTAGGAACATTAGCTATTTCAAGGTTGTTCTTCAATATAATTGTGGTTAGTTATGGGTTGAGGCCCTGGGAAGGCTAGCATGTCTGGCTTAGTTCCTTATCTCTTTTTAGGTGGCTAACTCTGCATTTCCCCATTTCTTCCCCCTCCCCGTCTTGGCTGGTCTTCATCTAACTAACTGCCTACTCTAACATTAATAATTGAGGGTAAACTTTGGAGTTTTGAATCCTCCAAGATTCTGCCCTATTCACTGTTTCCTTTGGCCAATTTTAAAGTATCCTTTCTCTGTAATAAATGTAACAGTGAGTACAATAGCTTTCAGTGAGTTCTGTGAGTTTTCCTAGTGAGTTACTGAACCTGATGATGGAGTGGGAACCCCTGAATTTATAGCCAGATGGTCTGAAGTGAGGGCAGCCTTGTGGAACCTACTTCTTCAGGCTGTGTAGTTTGCCTAATCCCTTACTGGTCTTTTCAATAAATGATGCTGGGACATTAGGTAGTTATCCAAATGAAAAAAGTAAAAGTAGACCCCTATTATATAGCATGTCCTAAAATCAATACTAAGTGAATTAAAAACTTAAACACAAAAGGCAAAAAAATATGGTTAATAACATTAGGGAGAATAACTATACTCTTAGGGAAATTAAACTTCTTAAATAAGACATAAAAAATTAGTAAAAGCGTTAAATTTGATGGCATGAAAAGTGAGAATTTCTACCATTATTTAAAGGTTAGATAGCAGTCAAGCCATAAACTGAAAGAAAGCATGTACAGCAACACACAACTGACAAAGGAAGACAAACACTAATATTTAAGAAGTGTCTTCAAAGCATCAAAGGCAACAAAACACTGGAAATATAAAAGAATAGAAAAATTAGAAAATGACATGAAATAATATTTCAGAGGACAGAAAGTGAGATAGGCTGAGTATCACTTGGGAAGGGAATACTCTTCATGTTATTTTTAATCCTCTTCCAAATAAGTTAAAAGTTTCTTTTTGTGCACTCCCCAAAAACTGCTGTGTGCCTGCCAATGCCAGCCCATTGTGAGAACCTGGAAAGCAAAGAAATCTACTCTGCACCTGCATGAAGAATCCACCAGATTGTGGAGCCATGTTCTTGGTTAGTGTGTGCTCCCTTGATACAACAAGCACCCTCCCTTTTTCATCTCCACCCTGTTTTCAGAACCCTCCACCCTGTTTTCAGTAAGCCTCCTTTTTTGTATGTCTTGCCCCTCTCTTGGTTTCTATCTTTTTAAAAAAAATTATTTATGTATTTTGAGAGAGAAGGCAAGGAAGGAAGAAAGTGAGGGAGAGAAATATCAATGTGAGAGAGAAGCATCAATTGGTTGCCTATCACATGTGCCTGGACCAGGGATGGAACCCACAACCCAGACATGTGCCCTGACCAGGAATTGGCCCAGAGACCTTTCACTTTGTGGGACAATGTCCAACCAACTGAGCCACACCACTCAGGGCTTGATCTTTATGTTGAAGAGAGGCAAGCAAGAACCTCTTTGATGGTGATAAAAGCATGAAAGAGGGCTCAATCATATTTAGCACCAAAATATGCAAATTTAAAATTAGAATAATATATCAGTTCATACCCACCAAATGGATGAAAATGTAAAAGTCTGACAATACCAAATGTTAATGAGGATATGAAATAACAGGATTTATAAATGGGTATAAATACTGAAAAACAACTGGGCAATGTCAGTAACATTGAAGATGCACATACCCTATGACCCAATAATTCTATTTTTAGTTGTATACCTAGAGAAATCTTTGCATATGATACAAGAAACAAGTTCAACGATGTCTACATAAATGTTTGTTATATAAGAGAAAAAGATATATTTAAAGAATAAATGATTATACAGTAGGATAAATTCACAAAAATTAATGAATCTCCTCAATATACATTGAGAGACAATAAAGTTGCAAAAGATTTCAAATAGTATGATTTTATTACATAAAATTTAAAAATGAAAACAATACATATAGTTAAACCTATAAGCAAAAGCAAAGGAATGAAAACATGAAATTTTGAGCAGTTACCTCTGAAGGGTAGAGAAGGGGATTGTATAGGGATAACTCTTGGCACACATGGGGTTTTTAACAATAATTAACATTTTACTTCTTAAATATGGGTGCTCAGTCATTTATCATACCTTATACATTTTCTATTATTCAATAGTTAATAAAACCAGTTTTAAAAACATAGTTACACCACAGTGTGGTAAGAACTACAACAGATGCAGCATTGGGGAATATAATCAGAGTCACCAAGCATAATTAGGAGACTGAAGCAGGCTTCATAGAATACAGAAAAAAGGGTTTGTATAGAATAAACACCCCTCATATTTCTTGTGCAACAGAAGCAAGAGATAGCACTATGAATTCTGGGAACTACTAGAAGATAGTGACAGAGGGAGCATAGAAAGATGAGGCTAAAACGAAGAGCTTAGCTGCATCCTGTGTTGGAAAAGCAAGTAAACTGGGGTAACTGGTGAGGGATTCTGGAAAAGCAGTCTGTCTAGAAGTGATGCCGTAGAAGTCCAAAAGGTCAGGACAACCAGGTCTTGGATGACAGATCATCCCTGGCAGGAATAAAAACATTTTCACTCAACGTTTTACTCCAACATTAGGATTGGTGCTCTGGTAAATATAGAATGTACTTTTTAGTATATGTATGCAATGAATATAATACATATGCAACACAATATATAGTGAATGTGAAATAGTTGGCACATCATGCTGAAGGTAACAGGGATTCACTAAATAAAAGAAGTCACATTGACTAGACTATTTTATTGGTGAGAAGTAAAAGCAGAGCCAGGAAACCCTATTACAAGGTCAATGGGCTATTCACTTGACAAAGGTCTGATCTGGAATACAGACAATGGATTAAAGCTGTAGGGCAGAAAGTGATCAGAGGCAATGACATTTGGCACCTTATGAATGCTGGGAAGATCAGGAGATAGGAGTTGGGGAATCTCCAGGTTGCCAGTTTAAGTATACGTTGAGGTGCCTTACCAAAATGTACTAAGAAATGTAGTCCTTTCCTGAGAATCTTAGGAAGTTTCTGGCCAGGATGGGAATGGGAAGATAAATGCAACAAGTCCTCACAGAATTTAGAAGTCAAAGAGAAAGGAAAATAAAAACCCAGACAAATCCAGAATATAAAGACTATATTCTTAGTCTTTAGAGAGAAAGGAATTTTTGAGAATTGACTGGCCAGCATTAGTCAAGAGCTACACTCAGATACATCTAGGAAAAAACCCCTGAACAAACTATAAATAGTATACTATTCTTTAAAACCGTTTACTCCAAAGTCATTTTAAAAACCTAAATAAACACCCCAAACTAGGAATTTGACAGCCAACATTCTTCGATCATATCTCACACCAGATATCTTAAAAATTAAATTGTACAGACAAAAGAAAAAAATTTTTAGGAAGATATGAGTTGCTTTTCTATTTTTATAGTAAGGAATACCATCTGGCATGACATAAAGGGAAGAAAACATTTCCTGAAAACTCTGAATCTAAAAACACACACTAATTAGACTTGAAAAAAATATTTCTAAAACAACTTATAAATAACAAAGAGAAAATATGCTTGATGTATATGCTTATTTAAAATAAATTAAGAAAGATAACACTCTGACAAGTGGGTAAAGAAAATCAGTAGGCAATTTAGAAATCCCCAGTTGTATCATTTATTAATGTGTAATTTTGAGGCAAGTGACTCAGCGGACTCTATTTCATCTTTTAACTTAGAATAATAACATATTTCATCAATTCTGAGATGGCATTATTGTAAAGCTATCATTACTTTATACACTAGGAAGGAAAAAAAATATACCATCTATGAAACTACGATTGCAAGAAACTGGAAAATTCATCCTGATGTGAAAGGAAAGTGCATCATAGAATTAATGAAATATAGTCAGACCGGTCTTATGTGGATTCAACAAATTAACACACATAAAGCATTTCAAACTACAAGTGGCTTAAAACAGTAAACTAGTTGCTTCTATCAGTAACATAATCCCATTTTAAAAACAAAATTACACACCTAAACATATGCATAGACAATATAATTTGAAATTAGTAAAGTGACTATCTCTAAATGGTGGGGCCATGGATGACAAACTTTTTTAATAAGCTTCTCAAATATTGAAATTTTTGCAAGAATCCTGTATTACCTTAATCATTAGAAAGACAGCAATTTGGTTACTTCTATCATGAGGAAAATAATATCTAGAACTGAAGAGAGCAGGCAGGCATACCAGGCTATTAGAAATTTGGAAGTGAATTGGCTATTGCATGTGACCCTGGAGGGGACAACAAAGAAGTTAGTGAGATAGGAGTAATCTTATTCTGTTGGCCAACTTTCCTGCCAAATCACTGAGGCATATTCTATCAAGACTGTCTATGGGATTGAACAAACTCCAGGAAAGTGAAAATTCTAGTTCAGAGCCCTGGTTTAGGCTCCTGTCTGGGTTAGGAAAACTGCTCCCTAAATGTAGCTTTCCTCTTCTCTTCTCCTTTCTCCAAATCACTACAGTAAATCTTTTATATAGGATCCTGAAACAGGAGAATGTTCTGAAAAAACTACAAGCCCTTTCCAAGAAAGTGCCACATACAACTTACCTCCCCCATGACTTCTGATGCACAGCAGTTCTTCTCTTCTCCAGTTCTGATTCTGAAAGAAGAAAAAAGGTGGGAAAAAGATTATGGAACTAGGAGAGAAGAGTTCCTCCCTGGTTCCCAGAGGAGACCAAGTCAGAATAAATCCCTGCCCCACCCCAGGCACTAAGAGGGAGCCCAAAGCCAAAGAAGCCTGCAACTCCACCATTCTCTCCGGTCAGCGCAAAGAGTAGGTAACCTTAGGAGTCTAGATGGGAGTACTGGGAAAAAAGTCCCAGACTGTGGCTGCCTTCTTCCATAAGACCCTGACTTTGGGTTCTTGTAAGCCCAATATATTATATTTGTGTTCTTCGGTCAAAAATGTGGCTCCAAGATAAAGTTGTGTGGACCCATCTGTCAGAGTCCTCATAACCCTGTCTTCTAGGCTGGAGGAACCTCTATGAGACTGGATCCCTGGCGAACACCCGGTGAAAGGACAAAAAGTGTGAGAGGAGTTCCCAGGCCCAAGTTTTACAAATCCGCTGGACAGCACAGAATAGCCCCCGGGAGGCCAGTCACAGTGCTGGAGAGCAAAAGGCGGCGGTTATCAGTTTCGGCTGCTCAAAGGGAACTCAGAGGCTCGAAATGCACTCGGAGTCTTAAGTAGAGGCCCAGAAGCCACCCACCGCCGGATTCCGTCTGGCGTTTACCAAGAACATACAAACAAGGAAAGCACCCTTCCCAGTTCTAGCCCCAAAGGCAGACGCAGGGTCGTGGCTACGTAGGCTACTCACGCACAGGGCGGAAGAAAGTCTGTCTCTGACAGTGCACTCACCGCGGCCCCGCAGGTACTGCTGGTCCGGGGAGCATCGCATGGTCTTTCCACCCAGGCCAGACATCATACCGTTGGAATACCCCTGACCTCCCGACACCCCCAGCCTGAAACTACACCCACTCAGTACAGTCGCGCGGCAGATACCTCCCTACTCGGAGGGAGGACATGCAGCGTCGACACCTCCGCCCTTCCCGACGTCCTTTATTTTCCAGGTGTGGACACGCACCCTGGGGGCCTAACAGTCTCCCCTCCCACACACACATTTAGGACCCCAGACAGACCCTGTCCCGCCCCAGGGGTCCTTAATCTCCACTTTTCCGTAGACTTCGCACGCCAGTCTCTTCGGATCCGCAGCAAATTAGTGAGCTAGGCCGCCCAGGACACACCTACGCTTTGTGTCCGAACTCCTTTAAACTCAACACCAGCCAGCCAAGTCTGGCTGGAAATGGCTATGCCGCGAGGCCGTCAGGGAAATGTAGTCCAGAAGAGCAAAATTCCAGCTAGGGTCTGGCCGGCTCGACAGTCTTCTTTGCCGTCTCATTCCATGCCTTCGATGAAGCTCGGTTTTGATAGCTCAGTGAGCCTGAGCTTTCTCTGAGGACCTGGGCGAACCGACAGGTCCGGACAGCAATAGGTGGCTGCTGGGAATTGAGAACAGGTTACGGACTGTGGAGGCTTCTGAGATTTGTAACCCACAGTTTGGGAAAGGGCGGGGCGGTCGTCCACCAGAGTGTCCCAGGACCCCGAAGTTAACTTGTTTGCCACCGGACTAGGAGATGCCCAGAGGCCTCAAGGAACTGTAACTAAAAGCCGGAAGCCGACTGTTCAGAGTCCTCTCCACAGGGAGCCGTGCTCTCAGCGCTGGACCAGAAGAAGACAACTTTCCGCCACGCCTGGAACTATTAGTCCTCCCAGAGCTGGGCGGTTCAAGCATTGGCGCCTCACAGTCCAGGTCCTGCTGGACGCTGAACTTTCCGCTAGGAATTTATACTCCAGTCCCCGGCGCCACTGGGAAGTGTAGTCCTCAGTGTGCAAAGCCCTAACGCTGCAGTTTTAGGTCCAGGCTTTTCAGTGCAATTTGAACGCTGGGGTTACCAGGCACCAGGTGGCTGCTGGGTTCACCCTGGAGGCATCCGGGAAATGTAGTTCCTGCCTTGCGAGTTAAGGATGTGGAAGTGCAGAAATTGAGCTTTGGCCGCGACAGTCTGAGAAAGGACTAGCAGGTTGGAAGACACCCCTGAGTCCAAAGTGGAAATGATGGAGTACCAACAAAACTACATAACAGGTAACACTGTTTTCAGACTTCTTATAAGTACGTAAATACAGATAGAAAGGCATTGATAAGCTCTCTGGAAAGTAATACTAACATTTATTAACAGTAGTTAATTTCTAGGATGTGATATTTTTTTCTTTTTACTTTAAGATTATTTTCATATTGCCCAGGCAGGCGTAGCTCAGTGGATTGAGCGCGGGCTGCAAAACAAAGCATCGCAGGTTTGATTCCCAGTCAAGGCACTTGCCTGGGTTGCAGGCCATGGCCCCCAGCAACCGCACATTGATGTTTCTCTCTCTCTTTCTCTCTACCTCTCTCTACCCCCTTCCCTCTCTAAAAATAAATAAATAAAATCTTTATTTTTAAAAAGATTATTCTCATATTTTGGCCATTAACATGTCCTTATGAAACATTACTTGCTAAATTTTGTTATAAAATGAGTAAATATAGACTCTGAAATGGATGAACTGGAAAACAAAAAGTGAACTATATTTAAAAAATTTGCAATTTGGTTCTAAAAGATCAATGAAGCACAATACTGATAAACAATAACAAAACAAAAAAATTAAATAATAACTAAAACATTAGAAATAAGAAAGGTTAAACCACATAGAATTTAAAAGAATTTTGAGGCTGTTCTGTGCCACTCGACAACCACAGTAGAAGTAATTGTAGATTTTCTAGTAAAATTTCAATGATTAATTCTAGTAAGAAGTGTAAAACCTGAACAGAACAATAACCATAATAATATTTTCAAGTGTATTTTATTGATTATGCTGTTAGTTGTTCCATTTTTTCTCCCCTTTATTTCCACTCTGCCCTGTACCCCCAATCCTCCAGCATTACCCCCCCTTAGTTCATGTCCATAGTTGTACATACAAGTTCTTTAGCTTCTCTGTTTCCCATATTCTTTTTTTAAAATATATTTTACTGATTATGTTATTACAGTTATTCCATTTCCCCTCCTTTTCCTCCTCTGCTCTGCACCTACCCTCCCACCTGCATTCCACCCCACCCTTTAGTTCAAGTCCATGAGTGGTGCATAAAAGTTCTTTGGCTTCTACATTTCCTATACTATTCTTAATCTCCCCCTGTCTATTTTGTACCTGCCATTTACGCTACTTATTCCCTGTACATCCCCCCACCCCACTGATAACCCTCCATGTGATCTCCATTTCTGTGATTTTGTTCCTGTTCTATTTGCTTAGTTTATTTTTGGTTTTGATTTTTTTTTTTTAGGTTCAGTTGTTGATAATTGTGAGTCAGTTGTCATTTTACTGTTCACAGTTTTTGATCATCTTCTTTTTCTTAGATAAGCCCCTTTAACATTTCATATAATAAGGACTTGGTGATGATGGATTCCTTTAACTTGATCTTATCTGGGAAGCACTTTATCTGTCCTCTCATTCTAAATGATAGCTTTGCTGGATAGAGCAATTTGAGTGTGGGTCCTTGCCTTTCATGACTTGGAATACTTCTTTCCAGCCCCTTCTTGCCTGCAAGTTTTCCTCTGAGAAATCAGCTGACAGTCTGATGAGAACTCCTTTGTAATCAACTGTCTCCTTTTCTCTTGCTGCTTCTAGGATTCCCTCCTTCATTTTTATCTTGGCTAATGTAATTATGATGTGCCTTGGTGTGTTCCTTCTTGGGTCCAATTTCTTTGAGACTCTTTGGGTTTCTTGGACTTCCTGGAAGTCTATTTCCTTTGCCAGATTGGAGGAGTTCTCTTTCATTATTTGTTAAAATACGTTTTCAGTTTCTTGCTGTTCCTCTTCTCCTTCCAGCACCCCTATGATACCGATGTTGGAACGTTTAAATTTGTCCCAGAGGTTCCTCGGCCTCTCCTCATTTTTTTGAATTCTTGTTTCTTCATACTGTTCTGACTGGATGTTTATTTCTTCCTTTCATTCCAAATCATTGATTTGATTCCTGGTTTCCTTCTCTTCACTGTTGGTTCCCTATATATTTTCCTTTATTTCACTTTGTGTAGCCTTCATTTCTTCCTTCATTTTGCTGCTGAGCTCAATCTATACTGTGAGCATCCTGATTACCAGTGACTTGAATTCTGCATCAGATAGGTTGTCTACCTCCTCGCCACTTAGGTCTTTTTTTGGAGTTTTGATCTGTTCTTTCAGTTGGGCCTTATTTCATTGTCTTCATGCACCTGCTATGTTGGAAGGGGTGGAAGCATAAGTATTTGCCAGGGCAGGGCAACTCTCCTTGCTGCATTGTGGCACTGTCTGTGGGGGAGGGTCAGAGAAAACAATGCTGCTTGCTTGGTTTGCTCTAGCCCCACTTTCCAATGAACTCTGCTGTGAAATTGGGAGTTTCTCCTGCCTTCACAACCCCCACAGTGTTTTACAGCTAAAGGTTTTGAGTCTTGAGTTTCCCAACCAGCCCCACCTCACCCACTCTGTCTGCTGCCTTGCCACGGGTCCTCTCCATTCACCCAGCTGCCCATCTCCTCTCTTCCTACTGGTCTGCATGAATGTTTCTTTAACTCCTTGGTTGTCAGAGTTCCATGTGGTTTATTGTTTTTAAATTGGTTGTTATACTTCTTTTGGTTTTGCAAGGAAGCGAAGCATTTCTACCTCCACCTCTAGCTTGGCCAGAACCCATAATAAAATTTAAATATATCTTAAAATATATAATAGTGAAAAGGTTCCAAATGATTATAGCTGAGTTTTAGCTAATTTTTGAACTCATAATGATTGTGCAGTATATTCAGATCCTAGGAAAAGATGACAAGCTCTCTAATTAATTTTGTCTAACTAATGTAAAATCTGATAAAGACAGGCCAAAAGAAAAGTCTTATCCATTTTGTATTAAAAGACAAACTGAGGCATGTTACAATTTTCAAGAGTTTATCTGAGGATACATAGATTTGAATTAGGCAGCATCAAACCAAAGTGGTTAGGAGTGCTCCATCAAAAGGAACTAGTGAAGAGGTTTTTGGTTTTTTAAAACCTCATGGAAGGACATGCTTATTGATTTTAGGGAGACAGGAAGGCGGGAAGAGAAAGAGGGAGAGAAACATCGTTGTGAGAGATAAACATCAATCAATTTCTTTTTGTGTGCACCCCAACTGGAGATTGAACCCACAACCTAGCATGTGCCCTGACAAGGAATGATACCCTCAACCTGTTGGTATATGGAATGATTATCCAACCAACTAAGCCATGCCAGCGAGGGCAACTAGAAGAGAGATTTCTATAGAGAAGAACGACAAGCAAAGCAAAGAAATTATTTATTTGGTTAAACACTTGCTTTATTTGGGAAAGCTAAGTTTGTGATTGGTAGTTTTTAAATTTTATTTTCTCTGAAATGACTCTGAATTAGTGTTTGGTTTGCTTTTGTAGGGAAAGAAGGCATTACAGCCACTTTGGTCCAATGGCTTTCTTATTTAATAACTTCAACATTTGTGTTTGATTATTGATGAAAAAATCTAAATAAGAGGCTATTTCAACAATGTTGTATAAAATTTGTACAATGAATTTTATTAAAAGATTTCCTAATGTGATTACAAAGGTCTTCATAAGAGGAAGGTAGGAGTGTCAGAGTCAGGTAGGAGAAGTGAAGGCATCAGAAGTTAGAATGATGTGCTCTGAAGACGGAGTAAAGTACCATTGAACCAAGAAATACAGGCAGCTTCTAGAAGGTGGAAAAGGCAAGGAAATAGATTCTGCACTAGAGCTTACAGAAGGAATGCAGCTCTGCCAACACCTTGATTTTAGCCTATAAGAGCCATTTCAGACTTCTGACCCCAATCTCTGGAGGAGGAAATCTGCCCACTGAGAAGGAAGAGAATGGAATGACCTGTCATTTATCAGAGAGCCATGTCCTTTGTAAATTAGTTCTTATGCTTTACTTCCTGAGACACTGTTCCCTATCCTACCAGGATACTCTGCATTCATTCTTCTGAAAGTCTTTCTCTTACAGAAACAAATTGAGAAACTATTTCTACCTTCTATTTGTTTAGTTCTTCTGTTCCAGTGGGGTCTTTGAGTACCTCCTCAAGTGGCTCAGTGCCCTCCAAATTTATTTCTTCCATATGATAGACCAGAGTCACCTAAAAGGCAAATTTTCTTCAATTGTTTATTTTGAAATTTTTCAAATTTTCAGATGCACTAAAAGAATAGTGAAAAGAACTTTTATAAATGCCCATAACCTGAATTCACTAATTGTTAAAATAAATATAAGTATCATGATACTTTATGTTCTAAATATAAAGTAATGATACTAAATATGTTAGCATGTGGCTCCTAAAAAAAGGGACATTTTTCTCAAAACACACCACTACAGACAGCATACACACATATTTCATCACTTATCACAAAACAATTCTAACACTTAACAGCAGTAAACACAGTAGCACATCCTATGTATGTCTAAATACAACTCCATGATCAGACCCAAGGAAATCAATAATTTCACAATTCACTCATATTCAAATTTTCCCAAAGTGATTCCCAAATGTCTTATATAGGTTATTTTTATTTTTAAATGTTTTTAATTTTTTAAATTGTAGTTCAAGTACAGTTGTCTCCATTTTCCCATCACCCCTTTTCTGGGCCCTTCCCACACCCACCAACCAATCTCAGTCCTTCCCCCTTTGGCTTTGTCTATGGATCCTTCATACATGTTCCTTGATGACCCTTCCCCATCTTTCCCCCATTATCTCCCTGCTCTTTCTGGTTACTGTCAGTTTGATCTTTATTTCCAAGTCTCTGGTTCTATTTTGCTTCCTTGTTTGTTTTGTAGATTAGGTTGCACTTACAGGTGAGACCATATGCTATTTCTCTTTCATCACCTGGCTTATTTCACTTAGCATAATGCTCTTCAGTTCCATTCATGCTGTTTTGAAGGGTAGTAGCTCTTTCCTTCTGCTGTGTAGTATTCCATTGTGTAAATGTACCAGTTTTTTGATCCACTCATTTACTAATGGGCACTTAGGTTACTTCTGCCACTTGCCTATTATAAATTGTGTGGCTATGAACATTGGGGTTTGTAGG